CTCTTGCTAGTGCAATGGTTATTGACATGCACATATATAAACTCCCTAACATACAGTAAGATTAAATTAGTCCATATTAAATGACGGGGGGGGGGATGTCTAGTGGTTAAAGCAAACTGGGAAACCATGCTGCCTTGGGAAATGTTACGGCTAAAATGTACGGCAAGTGTGGATCGTGGTGTGCCCAAGGCTGCAGGCTCCCCAGTGGCCCCAACCAGGGACATGTTTGGAGTGTGTTTCCTTTCACAGGAACAAGGGCACTGCGGAAAAGGAGGGAGGAGAATAGCAGGCACCCAGGTCTCATCCCGACTTGAAGTTGTGACTTGGCTGGGACAGGCACTGGGACAGGGCCCCAGAATCCTGCTGTCCCCATACAGCTTTAATTATCATGAACTGTATTTTAACAACCAAGTCACACCAATATTTAATTACCCTGTTAGGACAGTATGAGTCTGAATCACTGGATAAGATGCTTGTGTGAAAAAGAAGTAGAAAATTAGCATTCATATAATTAACTATCTATGGCTCAGCCTGGCAAAACCATTAGCCAAGCTGTTTAAAACATAAAACCCACAGAAAGCAGTATGTTTCGTGCTCCTTCAGGAGCTGTGGAGTGAAAACCTGTGGCTCAGTTTGGCATGTTATAACCCATCCAGGAGCACAAACTGCTTCTGACTGCAGACTCAGTTCTCATGGGTACTGAGATTCAGAAGCCAGTGAAGTCAAAGACCTCAGATCCTACTGTACTCAAGATCTATCTGCATCCTTATGCACATAAATGCCCTTTCAAAGAAAAAAATAACCCTGTGTGATTGAAGTTTGCATCAGTACAAATCCCAAGCTGTTTTAGACCATACACACACAAGAATGGAATGTATAATCACCATGCCCATGCCTTCTCCTTAACTTTACTGAGGGCTGGGCTGAAGCTATTTTGAAAGAAGTGACTGTATCTCCTTCTTTAAGCTGTAAGCATTCCCGGCAGCAATAATTGCCTTGTTACTAACTCCTCATTAACACTCTTTTAGACCTGTATAACTGTGCTGACTTTATGTTGCTCCTGGTCCAAGAACAGGATTATCATCTCAGCACCAAAGTCTCCTCTTAATTAAAATGTTACAGATACAAAAAAAAAAAAATCCACTGAAATAAATGGAATTACTCTGGATTTACAGCAGCATAACTGAGATCAGAGTTTGTCGTATTGTTTCCCATCAAATCCATAATTTAGCATGATAATGCACAGTGTTCTATACAAAGCTTCTTTTAGGTGGAAAGCCCAGCTTGTTTTACTCACCAGTAGTATGTCACGGTGACAGATAACTATTTTAATGAATTTAATACTCTTACCTGAATTCCTTATCCACAAAAGAGAAATACATTTGCAAATAAGAATATGGCACCTGCTTTAGATTGAATAAAAGCATTAATGTGAAGAACGGGAAACCAAATATCTAACCCTGAGTGATGCTGAGCAGCTGCAACTTCCATGAACTTTGCAGCAGTCGCAAGAACTCAAGATCTCCGTGGATGATATTTTAAGATATAATGCAAGGTCTTTTTCTACTATTTTCTTTCAGTTTGTCATTTATGCAAAGGAAGACACTAGATAAAAAACTAAAGAAATTACCATGTGCAATCCAGATGCCTGAACATAACTATACGAAGCAGAACTTGCAGTAGCAACATGTAGAAGCTTGATCAAAGAGAGATCATTAATCATGTACATACAGGTTGGATGAGGGGGAAAGGCCTGAGGAAAAACCGCATGAAAAATCTTCATCACACAAGTACTTACGTTATTGCTTCAGAGCTTTTTATGGCCTTAAATCTAAGCTAAAAAAGACATTATCTAAGGTGGTCTAGGGAATATAGCAAGGATATACAAGGAGAGACTGAGGAAAGGGTAAATGAGGTTTTATAGCATTCCAGATTTCACTTACGAGTGATGGAATGGCCGTTAAGACCACTGGAATGATTTCTTGCATGGAAGAAAGGAGGAACTCAAGAAAAGAAAGCAAGACAAGTATGTTATGTTTTAGCAGAATTCTTACTAACTACTAAATTATTATTGGCTACACACCAAACACTCCACACAGTGATAAACAACTGCTCATTTTATTTCACTAAACAAAAAGCCCATTGAAAGATTTCTACTATTACTGCATTCACTGGAACTCACTTGAAAAATACAGTTTTGGACATACATCAAATACAACTTACAGCTGAGTAACTGCAGTGGCCTAAGTTACTTTTCAAAACATGTCAAGAAAATGTTCTGTTCTCCAGGCAAGAGGAGAACAACAGAGTGAAGCAGCACACTAACTATAGGTATCAGACATTCCCTGAGGCTCAGAAATAGCTTCTCTTTTTAATTGCTGAGATTTCAGCAACTGGCCTTGCTCTCAGGGTTGCTGGGGGGGGGTGTGTGGTTTCACATACAGCCCCCCGTTTTTGGTGGCAAGCCAGCAAAACCAGTAGAAATTCCCATATCCTGTCTTGCCACCAGAAAAGGTACATTTTCAACAGCTGTGTCAGCACAACAGTACCTAAGGCCACACAGTAAACTGGAAAAAAGAACTGATCTCAGTTAAAAAAAAGTGTTACTAAAAACGGTGCTGCTTTTAATCCAAGCATTGGTTTGATCCCCAGCGCAGAGTTACAAACAGCTGTGCCAGCACAACCATGGGGCCATAGGTGGTGGTGGTGGCAGGGAAGATTAAATCCTTAAGATCTGCAGCCAGGAACACGCTATGCAGAATTGTGTATCAGGCTGTATATAAGTGTCATAGTGACACATCACATTTTCTTCAGAGGTAAGGCCAATTATGAAATCCCTCTCTCTGTTCTTTGCCCTGGCTGCTGCAATTCATCACCTCCAAATCTGTGCATATATAATAGTTTTAGAAGCTGCATCCTAAACGGGATCACAGAAATCATCTGGGTTAAGGAAAAAGAAATACCAAAATGGGTTTGTTTTCTAATCTTGCTCTGTTGCATTAGCTCAACTGCAGAAATTGTGAATTACAGGGCTAATGACTGGCCCTTGGCAAGCTCCTAAGACAGCTCTTGTGTCAAAAAACACATAAAAGATCCTGAACATTTGAGTCAAAATTAAAATCCTCTGAAAAGCAACCCTAAGGTGCTTCTGACTGGCCAACCCAAAATTGGGACTCCTCCTTCAGAAAGAAAATATCTGTGTCCCACTTGAAAACTTGGATCCAATTTGGTGAGCCATGGTTCTGTGAAATGTTATAGGTGTTACAGGGTTTGTACTCCCCACACCTTTCATTTGCCTGTATTTACATCCCCTACGTGTCTATGAAACACTACCAAAAGCGATTTCTACTCTGCTGTTATAAATGGCTACCCAAAACCTAAGATAGTGGAGAAGCGCTCCCTCCAGGTTAGGTTCTGTGTTTGGGATAATCGCGTTGGGCTCTGTCAATACATCTATCACCTTTAATCAGAGCTGTTGATTATCCGACTCTCTGAAAGACAACTCTTACGTTTCTGAAGCTGGATTCTCTGACACAGCAGCATCTAAACTCTGTGAGCAGTTCTGGAAAGAAAAAAAAGAAGTCTTAAGTCTTTCCACTATTCATAGCCTCCACTCATTGGTGAAAAGCCCTTTAACAGAATTGTTTAGACCACATAACACCCACGAGTTGCAATTTATTAAAGTTTGGCAGTCTAATCACTGCAGACTTTTTCAGAGTTGATCCCCACAGTAACAATTATTTTCTGCTTTACTGACTCAGGGAAATTCATTCTAGTTTTTCTCCCCTTACCTCCCATCCACCGTTTTATTTCTATGCCGTGTTTCTTCACTCTCCTTTGCGCCTATTGTGCCTTTTGTGGTCAAAAAAACTACAGCGAGTATTTCCCCATGTTGCTAGTGGAGACTAGAATGGCCCGCATAATTTGTCCCCTTACATGCGGATCTGCCCTAAACTTTCCAGTTTATTTGTTTGGCCACACTGTTCAGTAAAACTAACTTGAAGTCGTGAGTCATTATCAGGAGCTTCTGGGTTTTCAGTGCGTCCCCATGAAATAGAGAACAGAGGACTGCAATTTTTATGTGTTTATTGTAATTGCAGCAGTTACACAAGCCGTGTAACACAGTCAGAGCTTAGCACTGTGGCTGGCTCCAACCTTTGTGTAATTAAGGAACAGAAATCACAGGTCATGTCAGGAAATGGGATTTTAAAACGTAACAGGAGAAATTGTGGATTTTGTTCCCCTCTCATTTCCCTTTGGAAATTTATTTTAGTCAGTTTTATGTAAATGCTTTACACACACACATCTATATTTGAAAAACAGGGTTCCCCAAGATCTTTATAACTTTCAGTCTCTCTCTGAAACCAGCAGCTTTACCTCCAGTGCCGAGCCCTGCCTCAGCACCCCTCCGAAACGACCGCGGCTGCCCCGGCGGCCCAACCAGTGAGCTGCTCCTGAAGGATCCTTTTTGTTCAGCATGGAGACAACCTCCCCCTTAACAAAGGACCGTCCAGCCACGGAAAACCTGGACGGGATTCAGTCGTAAAAGCCGCCCGAGCTAACCTCATGCCGGTGGCCCGCTTGCCCGTCTGGTCAGGGCTGACCCGCGGCCTTGGCCTCGCCTCCCGCCGGGACCCTCCTGGCCAGGCCCCTCGCCCCCACGCTGGCTCACCCGCGCCCCCAAACCACCACCCGTGGGGCTCAGGGTGGGAGACTGACGCGGAGACGGCCCGCACCTGGCCCGGCAGAGGCCCGCAGATGCCGGTCCCGCGGAGCGCCTAGCCCCCGGGGGGAAGGGGCTGCCCC